GTGGTTCAAACCCACCAGCCACTCCTCGGAAGGAAGATGGGGCAATCTACTTCCGTAGTGATACTGCCTCGGAAACCCAAGGAGGGGTCGCTATGGGTCGGGTCTGACTCGAAGGCACAAAACAACAACAACAACAATTTGTGGTATATTCTTGTCAGAGCAGCACTAGGTAACCAGAACACCCATCTTAGCCATTTATCCATTGAGGTTGATGTGGGCTGTTAGAGCAATGTGTTATACAGAAATTAAGACAAATCTCATTCCCTGAAAGCTGAACAGTCTCTGTTATTTTTGCCTCTTCTAAAGAGAGAACTCTCTTGGGGGAAATTACATAATACCACTACTGCTTGGGGTTAGGATGTAAGAACATTCTGATATATTTCATATATCTAGTTGTTTGTGAATAATTGTTTAAATTTTGTTTTTTCTCCATCTACAGTAACTCTGTAATCAGTAGAGTATGATGAGTTTTGTTTTTTTTTTAGTTAGTATTATTTAAATTTTTGCAGTGTTCTCCCCCCCCACACACACACACACCCCTGGTAACCAACAAAGAAAGTTTCCTTCCATATATAAACCTTTCCTTGACTTTTTGCAATGATGAACTTACATAGTATTTGTCCTTCTGTGATTGACTTATTTCACTCAGCATAATGTCCTCCAAGTCCATCCACGTTATACAGTGTTCTGCAAATTCTACATTATTCTTTAGTAGAGTATGATGAGTTTTATTTTTAGGAGACACTACCTGTGTTTTATGTATGTCCAACAGGAGCCATTTGCATACCTTCTTTAACCCCTTTGCATGTGTTGTGAACTGTTTTCTGGATAGTTTTCCCTTCTTTGCTTCATTAATTCAAATTCAACCTCAGCTTTTAAAGCCTGTCTATCATGAAGACTTCTTTGACTGCTTTAAACCAAACCCATTGTCATTGAGTTGATCATGACCCATAGCGACCCAGAAGGACAGAGTAAAACTGCATAGCGTTTCCAAGGCTGTAAATCTTTATGGGAGCAGACTCCCACTTCTCTCTCCATGGAGTGCCTGGTGTGTTCGAACTGCTGACCTTTTGGTTAGTAGCTGAATGCTTTAGCCACTGTGCCTCCAGAGTTCCTTCTTCTGTGTCTACCACATTCTGTTGGAATGATTTATTTTTGTCTGCCTCCCACTCTTCCTTAAAGCAGAGGCCCTTGTTTTTTATGTTGGTAATCCTAGGCTTATCCAAGTGCCCCATGTGTAATAAATGCTTGGGCAAATTTTGTGGCAGAACTGAATTTCAGGGTAAAGGATATGCTTTATTTTTTTGTATCAGTCCTCTGTGGTGTCCAACATATTAGTCGGCATAGGATATGTGCTTGCTTCATTTATTCATTAATTAACAAGATATTGTATATTGATTTCAGAGATTGCTTCTCTTTAGTTTTGTAACTTTCAGACATATTTTAAGAAATTCACTTGCACATTATTAGCTAAAACAGTCTTTTTTGAGATTCAAATCAGAATGGTGAATGTGTCTCCACTGCCTTTGATTTTTTCAGAAAAGCCAGTTGTCACTGACATTGACTCATGGTGACCCCATTTGTGAAGAGTCGAACTGTGCTCCATAGAGTTTTCAATGCTCATTCTTTGATCTTGCTTCTGGAGCCTCAGGATGGACTTGAACCTCCAATCTTTTGTTTGCACCACCCAGGAACTACCTATTTTTAAAGTATCTCTTAATGTCATCAGTGTCTAGCTGAAATACCAAAAGTGACAGATTGTGTGTATCCTGGGGGTGATCATCATTGACGTCAGTCATTATCTATTAATTCTTACTGTGAAAAATGAAAATTTCACTCATGGAACCACTGATTTCTCCCCCCACCTTCCAGGCTTGAAAGCTGTAATATATTTTAATTCATCTATAGTTTATCTTTGTAATGTCAATAAAATACTTAAATTTTAATAGTCTTACATTATTCCCTATAATGTAAAAGGAGATTATTTTCCCTTCCATAGTTTATCTCAGCTTCTGTTAGCTCTGCCTTTATCCTTACATTGACAGGTTTGAATATCTTCATTTTAATATAATCATATTTTAAAGACTTACCCAGTTTATTCTAAAAGTTAAATACTAAAAATAGTATTTGTATTATTACATAGATGGTAAAAACTTTATAGCAAGACCTAATAATGTGCACCTGTTGGTCCAATACTGTGGCACTTTTAGTGTATGTTGGTTTCAGAGATTGCTTCTCTTAATTTCATACATTTCAGACATATTTTAAGAAATTCCATTGCACACTGTTAGCTAGAAGTCTTTTCTGAGATTCAAATCAGAATGGTGAATGTCTCTGGTGCCATTTATTCTTTTAGAAAAACCAGTTGCACTGAATTAACTTTGACTCATCGTATTTTACACAGAAAAAGATTTCCAATAGCTGGATCAAGTGATCTTTTTTTTGTAATCATAATTTACTTAAAAACATACCACATTTTAGTTTGGTTGTGGTCTTTAAGCTTTTAAATGCCAGAAGGGGAGAGCCATTCTCTATAGTGCCCCCATCCAGGCTAGCAGGTCAGACTCTCCCTAGAGTGTATATTCTTTATATATA